AAACCATATTCTGATATCGAAATATCTAGTTTATTATCACATCTCAGGACAGTCTACATTTGAACTCAGATCTGATTGGCATAAGTTCGGTTCCCTTATCTTGGGAAACATAATCTAAAATATTTCCATCACACAATAAATGTCATGTTTAGTGCTATTTTAATATTATGAGATTAAATCTAAAGTTGAAGACTTGTTGTAATCTTTACATTACAAATTTAGTTATAACTTATCGCCCACCCATTCACGGAATTATATCAGCTGTAAGGAATTGGAACAGGCCATAAGGCCTAATCTGTATAAGCTAAAGAATAATAACATCCCTTTTTACCACAGCAAGGAGCGCCCTCAAACTGCTGGGAGTACATTGACAAGGGGTAGACACCCAGCTTATGGTTTAGGCAACAGGCTAAAATAAACAGCACGTTATGAAACGTTACACAGGATCTCTGGTTTTAACGGATTCTTAGGAACGATCTGGAAAATAAGACATGAATTTTCAGATAGATCGGACAGTATCACGTTTTCTAGACCGATCTTCACCTCACACCAAAAAAGCTTTGGGTGCAGAGAGGAACTATTTGACCCCGTTATTTAGTTATAACTCTTTTAAATCAAAATGACTCCACAACAAAACGTTTGTATTACAGATGACGTCATTGGTTTGAGAATTCTCTGGAAGATGGCTACGAGCGAATTATTGTAAACGTCAACCATTTTGCATAACGTAGCGTTCAATGCAGTTATTATCAAAGAAAAATACCACTGTGTGGAATGTCTCTATATTAAATAATGAAGAATGTTTTTAGTTTAAGAAACAAATATATATATATATATATATATATATATATATATATATATTAGTACACGATTTAGAACATAAATACATAACATGGCTATGTAATATAGTTCGAAATAAAGTACAATTTTTTGTATTCTCTCAGTAGAAAATTTGAAAAACTTTATCTGAAAGAAACAACAATATACGATATAAACTTATCAAATTTCAGTAAATAAAATATGTATTTGTGTACTTGATTAAAATATGCCTGCATAACAATAGGGCTTTAAGTTAAGACCTGAGTAGTACGAATTTCCACCTGCTAAAAATATGATCAGAATTAGATTCTGCATAGGCACTTAGCTGCATAATAATTCTAACCTCTATATTATTGGCGGTCTGATGTCCTGGAACACTGCAGATCTATCGTTCCGTGACTACCACCTTCCCTGTTCTGCAGAGGACAAACACTAAAGTCTGCGCGTGAAATGTTCGGTGCCCCTCCCAGGAAGGAAGTGCTGTGCTAAGTCCTGCATAACAATTGCTTGCTCTGTGTGAGTCAGAGATTTCCAGGCCGCACGCCATATTTATTTTCAAGCGAAACCGAACCCACGTAATTCAAATTAGCAATTAAATTAATTAAAACTGACAAACCAAATACTACTTAAGGTACGAAATGGACCTCCAAACCAACATGTGTGGTTTAACTATGATACCCCAGACTGCTCAAAGTCATTGCACTGAAACTGTATCACTTATTGTTTCTCCGGATGTTGTATTAAATAATAATAATACAATTTGGACAAAATCAAAATAATTTTTACTGATGAAACTCGGTATCTTCATCAGGGACGGACACAGACTTGATGTTCCTGGAAAGAAGCCTATTGATGCAGTTGAAGGCCATTCTGACAACTGAGGTTTCACCAGGGCTGGAGAAACTCTCTTCATTGGGTTAGGAGCCCATCATATCTGCTGGTTGCTGCAGCCATTCTGCATGAAAGTCACCCTGAAAAACTCATGTAGGTTTCCCCAATGACAAAGGGATATGACCCTGAGAAGACTTTCTTTGGGCTATAGCACCATATAGTCTGGTAGAAGTTTACCAGCATCTAAGAGATACCTGCTGACTCCATCATCAGGGCAATGAGTAAGCCATACTTGTGGTATCAAATGAATGGACACAGAAAAGACCTCAGAAAGAATGGTAAACTTCTACCGCACTACGTAGTGCTACAACCTAGAGGACAGTCATCTTTTTACTTTCCACCATGGAAATCTTAAATCCTACTTTGGATGTTGCCCCGCATACCAACATAGAAATTACAGCCTATTTCTTGGAATTGAAAAAGAGGTTAGTATGAATGGGTTTACAGTAGACTTTATGATTCCACAGGAAAGCCTGCATTATGTGATGGAATAACTCAGGGTCACTTTCAGGCAGAATGGATACTTGATGGTTATTATTCACAGTCACTTTTTTAAACACTCATTTTTCACTAGTTTTATTTTGTTAAACTACGTGTTTCAGCCCAGCATGGCCATCTACATTTTCGAATGCAGGAATGAAGTCAATGTCCTGGAACTGTATCACTTGTGGTGTACTGTTGTGGAATTTCACAATGGTACACCACAAAACACAGTTCAGATACAAAATACTTCTGGACTCACCAAACTGTGCAAGCAAATTTAAATTACAATTCAACCACTTAAAGTTAAAAATAATATATTTTACCCTAATTTAAATATTATTTGAGAAAACAAAAGGAGAAAGAGTAAGTCACATAATCCCAGTGCAAAGACTTTGAACATACATTTGAACCTGATGATGGCCACATTGGGCTGAAACATATAGTTCAACAAAATAAAGTAACTAAATAATAATCATCAAGAATCAACATAACACACTGGGATACTACAGTACAGAAATACTACAGCAGCCTTCAGATCCAACAGATTCTCAATCCACTAGAGAGAGTTGCTCCAGAGAAACCCATCTCAGATACATTTCCTTCCCTCTGTCAGCATGACCTTCAGCCACATCAGCATTTTATGTGCCTGAACAGCAGCCTGGTGACGTTATTGAAGGTCATAGTGACAAAAGGAAAGAAGGTGACTGAGACTGGTTTTGTTGGGGCTGGGGCAAATGCTTCCTGCCATCGGAAATGCTTTAGTTCATTGTCTCTGTCTTGTCTTCTTTGCACTCTCCTTCTTTACCTTGAAAATGAAGAATAGTTTTATAAATATCAAATCTAAAACTTCTTGATGATGGTGAAGAGTCATTTGAATAAAAATTTTCTTGGATATTTTCCGTTGTCTAGTAAAATATCGGCGAAACTAGCAGACCTCTGGAGGTACGCATAAAGGAACATAAATATAACTTCAGACAGGGCCTGCTGGAGAAATCCAGATTGGCCCAACATGCGTATGAAGAAGATCATCATGTCTGTTGGGATGGATCCAGGGTGTTACTAACAGAACCTAATACCATCTACAGGAAATACAAGGAGGCGGCACACATGGCACTACTTGCCAATCCTATCAGCCAGCCTAGTTTGGATTTATCTCATATTTGGATTCCGGTCATATCTGAAGAAGTCCAAGTTGTGCATCGAGTTTCAAATTAATGGTCATATGTATTTATTCCCACATTTTGTGAGTTTTTGTTTTATTTGGCTTTTTCGTGTTTAACGAATTTTGTTTCTACTATTTTATTCTTTTACGTCCCACGGATGTATGGTGTGGTGATGTCTTTGTATTCCGGGACTTTCACTTTTTTACTTTGCCCGGAGATAGGGATTAGCTCAATCTAGTGGGCCCAACTGAATAGGAACCTGAAGACGGAGATAGAGCCCCATCTCCGAAACGTCGTTTTACGTTTTATATTTTACTAGACGATGGATAATATCCAAGAAAAATTTTATTCAAGTTTTATAAATGATTTGTATATTTTGAATTATGTCACTTAATGTATTAGATCAGAGTAGAGTTAAGTGTTACCTGCCACATTCAATTATTAAAACTTAGTGTATAGACAGTGTTTAAATTTACAAATCTCATAGTCAGGAATTTATTGTACATACTGTTCCTGCAACATAGTTAAACCTTTAACCAAATAAACATTCTGATTTCAATATTGTATACCGGTAATTCTGCATGTTTTTTTTGTGTCACTGTAAAATGTAGCCTTTCATTCTGTGAGAATAAGACATAAGTTGTAAGACTTGAGGTTTTCACAGCAGTGAGTATGAAGATTTCTGTCTTCTGCGTTGTTGTGCTGTGTGGTCTGGTCGATGTTTACCGATTCATCGCCCTGATGACGGAGGCAGTATGACCTCTGAAACGTTGGTTAACATCGACCAGACTACACAGCGCAACAACCCAGGAGACAGA